CTCATACATTAATTGTAGAGCGATATAGAAATACCAAAGTTAAAATAGTGCTCAATACATCAATTGTAGAGCGACATAGAAATACCACTGTTAAAATAGTGCTCAATACATCAATTGTAGAGCGATATAGAAATACCACTGTTAAAATGGTACTCAATACATCAATTGTAGAGCGACATAGAAATACCACTGTTAAAATAGTGCTCAAAACATCAATTGTAGAGCGATATAGAAATACTACTGTTAAAATGGTACTCAATACATCAATTGTAGAGCGACATAGAAATACCACTGTTAAAATAGTACTCAATACATCAATTGTAGAGCGACATAGAAATACCACTGTTAAAATAGTACTCAATACATCAATTGTAGAGCGACATAGAAATACCACTGTTAAAATAGTGCTCAATACATCAATTATAGAGCAATATAGAAATATCATTGTTAAAATAATGCTCAATACATCAATTGTAGAGCGATATAGAAATACCACTGTTAAAATAGTACTCAATACATCAATTGTAGAGCGACATAGAAATACCACTGTTAAAATAGTACCCAATACATCAATTGTAGAGCGACATAGAAATACCACTGTTAAAATAGTACTCAATACATCAATTATAGAGCAATATAGAAATATCATTGCAAAATAGTGCTCAATACATCAATTGTAGAGCGACATAGAAATACCACTGTTAAAATAGTACTCAATACATCAATTGCAGAGTGATATAGAAATACCACTGTTAAAATAGTGCTTGATACATCAATTGTAGACCGACATAGAAATACCACTGTTAAAATAGTGCTCAATACATTAATTGTAGAGCGACATAGAAATACCACTGTTCAAATAGTGCTCAATACATCAACTTTAGACCGACATAGAAATACCACTGTTAAAATAGTGCTCAATACATCAATAGTAGACCGACATAGAAATACCACTGTTAAAATAGTCATCAATACATCAATTGTAGAGCGATATAGAAATACCACTGTTAAAATAGTCATCAATACATCAATTGTAGAGCAATATAGAAATTCCACTGTTATAATAGTACTCTTTACATCAGTTGTAGAGTGATATATAAATACCACTGTTAAAATAGTGCTCAATACATCAATAGTAGAGCGACATAGAAATACCACTGTTAAAATAGTGCTCAATACATCAATTGTGGAGTGATATAGAAATACCACTGTTAGAATCGTGGTCAATACATCAATTGTAGAGCTATATAGAAATACCACTGTTAAAATAGTGCTCAATACATCAATTGTAGAGCTATATAGAAATACCACTGTTAACATAGTGCTCAATACATCAATTGCAGAGTGATATAGAAATACCACTGTTAGAATCGTGTTCAATACATCAATTGTAGAGCAATATAGAAATACTACTGTTAAAATAGTGGTCAATACATCAATTGTAGAGCAATATAGAAATGCCACTGTTAAAATAGTGCTCAATACATCAATTGTAGAGCAATATAGAAATACCAAAGTTAAAATAGTGCTCAATACATCAATTGAAGAGTGATATAGAAATACTACTGTTATAATAGTGGTCAATACATCAATTGTAGAGCGTAATAGAAATGCCACTGTTGAAATAGTGCTCAATACATCAATTGAAGACCGAAAAAGAAACACCACTGTTAAAATAGTGCTCAATACATCAATTGTAGAGCGATATAGAAATACCACTATTAAAATAATGCTCAATACATCCATTGTAGAGCGATATAGAAATACCACAGTTAAAATAGTACTCAATACATCAATTGTAGAGCGATAGAGAAATGCCACTGTTAAAATAGTGCTCAATACATCAATTGTAGAGCGATAGAGAAATGCCACTGTTAAAATAGTGCTCAATACATCAATTGTAGAGCGATATAGAAATACCACAGTTAAAATAGTACTCAATACATCAATTGTAGAGCGATAGAGAAATGCCACTGTTGAAATAGTGCTCAATACATCAATTGTAGAGCGATATAGAAATACCACTGTATTTCAATTGTAGAGCGATATTTGAATCATGTTGTTAGTCAGGGTTTCATGCGACAGTGTCTGAAGATCGCATAGCGTGAAAAAGCTGAGTAACAACATGATTTAAGTTATATTATAATATTTCTATATTTTATCTTACAATGTACACAATATAATATAAACACTGTATATCATTCCTATTACTGTCGACCCGTGTTTCGGATATAAAACTATCACAAACACTGTTAATATGGGAATTTACAATGAAATACGATCTTACTCGGTGTGCGTAGTGCCACGGTTACCAACCTTTCTAGGGAACCGACCCCATTCCAGAAACTGGCAAAGTAGAAACAATTTCTCACCTTTTACTCAATTGTATTGTAGTACATCATTTATCGGACTGGCTATTTTCACGATGCGTGTTCTCTATGGCTGCTAACAACGGTACGGATAAGAGAGGACACAATAGGCGCGCTAGTTTTTTTTTTAAAGCACGAAGCCATTTTGATTGTCAAGAATGATATTAAGTGACTTTGTTAGGGTTAGGTAAGGATGGTCATATGTTTTTTAATGCCCATTTTTGAACCGTCGCGGTGCGAATAGCCACGGTCATCATTTATATAACATTATCGTTGAATATTTCATGTTTGGGTCGCGAGTTAGAGGTGTAGAACCGAGGGCTTGGTAGATAGGAATAATATTAAGGTGGGGCGATTGGAAATTGCTAATATGATGCTACTCTTTCCGGTCAAGAAAATGCTATTTGTTGACTGATTTGGACCCCCATCAAGTTTGCTAGTAAGAAATAAAGATTAATTATCGTCCATGCATAATACGTCTCTATTTCAACGTTCAAGAAATGCTTTGCTACCGACTAGATTCACAGCAAATGGGTCCGATTGTTGGCTAATAATTGTTTTCATCCAATCAGGCTGAACTTTGTGCAATTGTACATCACCAATTCTGTTCACATGATATCATGATATTTCAGTGGATGTTCCAGATCAAACATCACTATTAAAGGGATTATAAAGTATTTTCTTTATGTTGATTGGGGACTTGCGGCTAAGAAATTCATGTACTAAACACCTAACCAGTGGCCTTTCTAGAAAATATCAGGTGAAGGGGCCGAGTCGAGGCCACAAAATTTTCTAGGGGGTTGACCACAGGCCATTCTTTCACTATATAAAATGGTAAACAATTTGAAAGTGGGGTGTTCAAAGCCGGGCCAGCCTCTTTTCTGGTGGAAATGCCACTGCATCTAACTAAACCGGAGATGACGTGCCGGTGGCTAGTTGTGCGTGTTCAAATTGATAACCAGTGTTTCGCCTGAAATATAAACAAATATTCATATTTACAAAATGTTTAAAAAATTATTACACAGTACTTTTCATGTGTCTATTTCGTGCATCATGTATTTTAGGTTTTTTTGTTAAGTTATAACAAGCTAAAAGCAAATATATATGACTCTTAGGGATTATGAAGAGGTTTTCTAACATTTTTATGTGTATCGGGGACACTGATAACTTTAAGTAAAACCGACTTTCAATCAGTCCCGAAATTCCAATTCTAATCGTGAAGGACCTTGTATGATAAAGCATATTTTGGGGATTAGTGAGTCGTTAAATACTTATTTAGATGAAATTTCAATTTGTGCAGTTAGATTTTTCATGCCTACCTTGAATCTTTTGACAACTTTTTCTTCTTTGATTTCTGTATGTTCCCATTCCGGAGAAATACACAATGCCAGTCTCTGAATAAGATAATTAGGAATCACACCTTTGTCTCCCCTGCCTACATTTTCTACCATAGGGACTGGTTGAACCAAGTCCACACATTAATGAGAAGTTAATAAATATCAGGAGGTGACGACATGCCGAACCTCAGTATTATATCTACGTCGTTCTGATGAATTGAAGCGAATGATAATTTTGAGAAGCGATAACGTCGCCGCCATCCTCGTCCTAGTGTTCCTCGTCATCGTCCTAGTGTTCCTCGTCATCGTCCTAGTGTTCCTCGTCATCGTCCTAGTGTTCCTCGTCATTGTCCTAGTGTTCCTCTTCATCGCCCTAGTGTTCCTCGTCATCGTCCTAGTGTTCCTCGTCATCGTCCTAGTGTTCCGCGTCATCGTCTTAGTGTTCCTCGTCATCGTCTTAGTGTTCCTCGTCACCGTCCTAATGTTCCTCGTCATCGTCCTAATGTTCCTCGTCATCGTCCTAGTGTTCTTCGTCATTGTCCTAGTGTTCCTCGTCATTGTCCTAGTGTTCCTCGTCATCGTCCTAGTGTTCCTCGTCATCGTCCTAGTGTTCTTCGTCATTGTCCTAGTGTTCCTCGTCATTGTCCTAGTGTTCCTCGTCATCGTCCTAGTGTTCCTCGTCATCGTCCTAGTGTTCCTCGTCATCGTCCTAGTGTTCCTCGTCATCGTCCTAGTGTTCCTCGTCGTCGTCCTAGTATTCCTCGTCCTCGTCGTTTTTTTAATCCTCGTCATAGTCGTTCTCATCTTCGTCCTAAATGTTCTCGGTTTCGTCCTAGTCGTCTTCATCCTCGCCCTCGTCCAAGTCGTCATTGTCCTGGTCCTAGTCGTCGTGTCCTCATCCTAGTCGCCTTCTTCGACCTCGCCCTAGTCGTCATTGTCCTCATTTTCCTCACGTTATATTCAACCTAGTCGTCATCGGCCATGTCCTAGTCGTCATCGGCCATGTCCTAGTCGTCATCGATCTTGTTGTTGTGCCCTCTTTCCAGTCGTCATCATCCTTGTACTCGTCCTAGTCGTCCTCGTTTGCGTCCAGGACGCCATCCTCCTCTTCATTATTAATATCATTATCATTATAAATAAAGATATGTATACCTGTTTGAATGTTCCTGGGGTTTTGATGAGTTTATAAACAGCGAATCCCGGTATTAATAAAATAACTGAGAGAGCTATACACCAGCCGAGAATATTGGAATAACCTGGGTAGATATAGGTCTGGAGTGATGTGGTATATGACAATGGAACATAGTTGATTATACTCGTAATAACTAAAATCTGGAAATAGAACAGTTATTAAGGTTTAATGACGTCACAAATTCTGTATATTGTCACCGGAAATGATATAGTTCTGGAGTGATGTTATATATGAGAGTCCAACTAAATTTTATAATTAATGAAAAGTTATTATGGTTTAATGACGTGAAAAAAGGCATAAAATAAAGGTATGTGTGGGACAAATAGAGCAAACAGATGTTTATGATTGCAAATTTATATTTCATGTATTAATTAAAAATGACAAATATCTATACTGTGAAAAAACCTACTCAATACATCAATTGCGATTAGAATATAAAAACAGAGCCTGAAACATGTTTCTTTTTATATTCCAGTCGGTGTGCCTACCCAAAATGAAATAATTTTTTGAGAAAAACGTCCCCACTTAAGCAAATTCCCGAGGTATTTATAATTTCTTTAATTTCAAGTAAAAACTTACTAATAATAAAGTAGGACTGATAAACTTCCAACAGATTCTCCAATAAAGACCTGGCCTTATTCCAGTCATCTTCTCTACATCGTTACAAAACTCTTCTATACCTGAATAGAATAGAATAGAATAGAATAGAATAGAATAGAATAGAATAGAATAGAATAGAATGGAATGGAATGGAATGGAATGGAATGGAATGGAATAGAAAGGAATGGAATAGAATAGAATGAAATAGAATGGAATGGAATGGAATGGAATAGAATAGAATAGAATAGAATAGAATAGAATAGAATAGAATAGAATAGAATAGAATAGAATAGAAACGGTACGGGATGTAATTTTTTTTTTTAAATATATTAAAATTTAAATATTACTTGCAGCACAGTGACAACTCAAATATTATCTTCCTATTAAAGGGACCTTACTCTGAACAAAAATCAGACCACAGCAAAGCAGAAGTACATGATTATCTTGTACAAAGCACTTACCGTAGAACCACGATATAGCTATAACCTGTGAAAATACTGTGAATAATATGGATGTACCAGCTGCGAATGTATCTAATATATTAAAGATATAAACACCACCCTGCAATATACAGACAGAACAACTTCTTTAGCATTCAATAAGAAATCTTAACAAGTTAAGAGTTGCTTCCCTTAGTATTATCTTATTAAGTATTCAAATGCTGGACGTCCTTCTCTACCTTTTTCAGCTTATCAAATCTGGATACAAAGCACAGTATACCGATAGCTGAAATTAAGATCTTTCAGCTGGTAAAGTAAATATCTAAACGACAATACAGATATCTGGTATTGAGCTCTATCAGCTGGTAAAGTATATATTTAAGCAACTATACAGATAGCTGAAATTAAGCTCTATCAGCTGGTAAAGCAAATATTTAAACGACTATACAGATAGCTGAAATTTAGCTCTATCAGCAGGTAATTGGGGTGAACTTTATGAATAAGAAGACGGCGTACCTCTGTTAAACATGGCAATGAAAATATAAACGCTGAACCGACGACACATAAAGTTAAAAATTCTCTGGAAAAATGGAATTTTCGTAATTTTTTGCACTCGTCTTTTAGCCCAGTTAAAGGGGATTCTAAACCACCGAACTGAAAACAGAAATCAAATCAACATATATGAAATCAAATTAAATCTTCAGAATGGATAGGTAAGGCCTGGCATCTCAACAAAATACTCTCTTCGGATTTGTCCCAAGAAGGATTTTGCACCTTGTGATTTTCAGTTTCAGTGGGTCAAGACATAAGTGTGAATTATTACACCTAACTTAAAATGAAATGATAGTTGCCTATATTAGAGTTCTTATAACATTTCGCTCTATCCTATGTTCTCTCAAAGTTAGACCTTTCTACATGCACCATTTACATGGGGGGGGGGGGGGGCTCACATATCACTCAGCCTCTGCTGCTTTGATTCTCTCTGTATAAGCATATGGGTGAAGGCCGTGATTCCCTCTATATGAGTTAGCTAATTAAAATCAAACACCGCCAGCCAATCAACATCCTATCTTCTCCAACGCTGGAATTTTTTTGACGCGAACAAAAGTTGCATTCAGTGTCCTATGTGTCTTATTGTATGATGTCTTTAATGGGCGTATTTGATACAATAAACTTATCTTATCTTATCTTATCTTATCTTATCTTATCTTATCTTATCTTATCTTATGGAGGGGGCAAGAATTTGATGGTGTCATCAAAAAGACGGCTCTAACTGAAGTGGTTAAAATCAAATGGAAAGGAAGACCAAAAATGTAGATTATTCAGGTTAGAAAGTATAGAAATACAGTACAGTACAGAAATAGATGATAACTCACCGCACTATCTAATCCTAGTGTTATTAACATTAAAAAGAATATTAACGCCCAGATAGTAGAGCCTGGAAGAGTACTGATAGCTTCAGGATATACAATAAATACTAAACCAGGACCTGAAACATATATATTGTTTCCATTATTGGGGAATAAAAGAGGATCAGTCAGTCTTGTCCTCCCTTGAATAATAAAATGATTATTCTTACCTTCTGTAGCTACCTGGTCTATTTCTTTATGTGATTTTAAAGACATATAGCCCAGGTAGGAGAATATCACAAAGCCCGAGAATACACTGGTAAAACAATTTACAGCCACCGTTATTAAACAATCTCTGAAAATTATAAAATTACAAAATAATAGCATTTCGAACTTAAGTTCTTAAGCTCCGTTCGGGTGTAAAAAACGTTCAATGTCACAACCTTGAAACCAAATATTAAGATAATTGCATGTAATTAAACTGGTAAAACAATTTACAGCAACAGTTATTAAACAACCTCTGGAATAAAAAGTAGCCAAAATATTTTGAGGACAGGTTGTAGCTGAGTTTATTAGAGCGTTGACATCTCTGGAAAGTACTAATATACGATATGACATGAACTTAATATTTCTAGGACACACTTTAGCCCAGTTAGAACGTACGGATATTAACGTCATTTGATATTTGTAATGTTGAACAATCGGCGGTAGTTTTTATATATGTATCTCGGTCGATGTTTTAAAACCTGACGACCTTGAATAATCTTTGTCATTTTTTCCCTTTATTCCAATTGAACCAGCGGTAAATTGGTACGAAAAGTTTGACTTTGACGTAACATTCAAACCTTTAAAATGAAATTACAGACTATATATGATCTTTGAATGGCATTTAGTAAAGGTGTTGGATATAATGAACAAATTCTTATGGATTACAATTACTAACTTTATTTGAGCGACGTTTCGACCAGTGTTCTCTGGTCTTTATCAAGCAATGAATGCATGATAAAGACCAGAGAACACTGGTCGAAACGTCTTTCAAATAAAGTTAGTAATTGTAATCAATAAGAATTTTTTCATTATACAGACTACATGTATATAATTTACAGGTAGTTATACTTACCTAAAGCAATTATTATTAAATCTGTTATAGCTGGAATAGGCTATATGAGTACCAAACCCTGCTCCTACAGAAAACATTATCTGCACAGCAGCGTCTATCCAGACCTACAATATAATAATCATATCTCTTGGATGGGTTCAATTTTCACGATATTTCGATAAAATGTTCTTGGGTTATTGGTCTTTACTTAATAAACTATAAGTATGTATAAATTTGTGTCATCAAGTTTCACGCGATATTGACGAACTCATCTGTGACTATTGCCCTTAACTTGGTCAAACTACGCCGAAGTTTACTCAAAGTAATGTATTTTGGTGTATATTTTTCGGCTAAGTTCGACTTTCACACAATTTCTCGACAGATTTTTCCTGGGTTATTGCCCCTGACTCCATCAATTATACAAATGGATATATGTACAATTCATGAGTTGTATTCTGAAACCATCTCGGGTGAATTTGTTTTTTCTATAAACTATTTAAAATTTATCACTGTTATGTTTGCCAATTATCAAAACAATTTCATTTTTGATAAAAGAAAAAAAAATATATCAAACCTGTGGATTATTAAGCCTGGAGATATTGGGTGTAATAAAATATTTGATGCCCTCCTTAGCCCCGGGGAGGGTTGACCCGCGCACCAATAAAATAGCTAGAATGATATAGGGAACTGTAGCCGTAAACCATACTACCTGCAATAGAATAAGAATATATCCAGATACGTCTGAGAAACTCTGTGTATCTGACCCTGAGTATGTGTTATTTCGAGGAAAACAAAAACCCTGTCATACGAATGGCAGAAAAACGTAGTAGAAACTAAACTGTAAAAGGTTTTGGATCCTGAACAATATTATTCCCCTCGCGAAAAATTTAAAAGCCAACATAATATACAGACACAACGAACTGCTTACAATAGAAATTTGCGTAAGGATTTATAGCAGGGCGCGGACCTCAGAGGAAACACTTCTACTTAAAGCTAACGTGAATTTGAAAGGAGAGGGAAGAGTGAAACCCGATTGTATTTTCTTAAAGTTCCTAAACACCATAAGCGTCAAGATACACTTATCTTTCAAGGCCAAGTGATTGGTCCATTTGAATTGACGAATTATAATTGAACCAATCAAAATTAGCGATTATTATAAGATTGATATAATGAAGTTTTCTAATGGTGTGCAATATGGGGATATATTAAATGTGTCCCAACGTTGTTGAAGGGTTAACATACTGGGTCTTTGTGAATGGTTAACATACCTTTCCGGAGCTTTTAACCCCCTTCCAGAGACTAAAATATAGTATAATGAAGGTGAGAAGTGTCCAGAAAACAAGCGGCCATCTTAGTCCTCCAACATCTTCTATACCGCTACTTTTATCTATATGTAACATTCCTCGTCTAAAAGGCAAAAATATATGGAGTTTTACGCCCTAATATCGGCAACTTGTTTTCATCTATATGTAACATTGCTCGTCTAAAAAATCAATCCTTTATTCCACACTTTTTGGACTTTATTGCTTGATTTTGCTTCCTATGTTTTCAAAAGGTAAATGAAAAGCATTACGCTCTTATGCTTTCTACGTTATTGATACTATGGAAACACCCCTATGTGCAATTATATTTGGAATTCTATGTCGTATTATCTGTACCTTTTAGTGCTAGAAGGTTTGTTTCACTTTTTGGGGCAAATAAAATGCATTTTACATTCTCTCTAGTGTGCTGTATTTCCTTACTTTGTGGACTCTTTGAAACCAATATCCAACAATATCAAATAACGATCATGGGCTCTATGGATTCTTGTTGACAAGCCCAGTGACATTTGGTATTCACAAGATAAAACATTGAAAAAATACTCACTCGAAGAATTCATTAGTTGGTGAAACAGTTTTATTATAATAAGAGGAATTGAGTTCTGATCGGTTCCACTCTGGTTGCCAACAGTTACCAGTGTTCCAGGAATGGCCACAAGTTGTCCAGGGAAGATCAGTAGTAAAGGAAGAGAAGAGGTAAAAGAAGGCCCAACCAATTATAATATTATAATAAAATGCTACGATATAGGCCATAAAACAAGAGGCGAAACCAATACCTGGAAGATTAAAATAAAGATAAAGATAAATTGAAATGGAAATGAAACAGAATGGAACGGAATGGAATGGAACGGAATGGAACGGAATGAAATGAAAGAGAAATGCAATGGATCAGTTCAGATGTTAAAGTTAAATATTTAGATGACTGTATCCCTTCGAATACAAGTATTCAATGCATTGTCTGGTGTGGTTTCTACCATTCAACACCTTACACGTACATGTGCGAATTATTCAGGCTCTATACTTCATTATCAACGCACCTGCATATCATCTGCATATCATCACATATGTACAAACGTCTAATTACTTTTTTGCTCGAGTTTTTTTTTTAATTCTATTATTTCACCAGAAGTAATGAATATTCTACAGACTGAATTCAGTTCTGGGCGTATTCTCTTTAGCATGCAGCTGGTGACTGCAAGCATCCGATTTAATCAAATTGGCTGATATAAAAAGCTAATATTTGAATTAACAATGAAGTTTGAAAGCGAAATAAAAGTATAAGCAATTGATACAAAAGTCAAACCCTCGGATGCCACATGAATTTACCCAGATAAAAGCAAATAACGAAATGAGACAATAAGGTCCGGTTCGTTATCCCAGATTATAGTACGAGTAACATAATATGAACCACAATAAGACCTATTTGACCAGCTTACCTTTAAATATTGGTGTCATTCTCCAGATAGATATCGGCCCTAGACGGTGATATTGACCCAGACACATCTCCATTAGAAACACTGGCATAGCACACAGTAATAACATGGTGAAGTAGGGAATCAGGAAAGCACCTGCCATAGAAATTGATTTTTAGGAAGTTTGGAGAAGAAACTGTTGTTTTATGTCCTACTGCACCTGCTTATGTTGGCAGTACGTCAAGCTTAGCGCAATAAGGTTAATTCAACCATTACACCGACATCCACCTTCTATTTTCCGATTTCATCTGTCAAGGGGTCTTGTATCACGGAAGTGTGTTAATGCAGCAATTGGATTGTATTAGCAAATACATTTTCAGCCAATCAGATGCCTGGAAAAAAAATCTGTTAACTGTTAACAGTCATTCTGTCAAGGCCTCTGATTGGCTGTATTCTCTGACTTACAATCCAATCAAATCGCTACATTCCGTAATACAAGAATTGTGGCTACTTTAGTCAAGGTATAAGCCGAAGGTCGCAATATCTAGAAATTGTGAAGTTAAGAGAACATCTATCTACCCCTTTAAGTTTCGTATGATCAGTAATGATAGTATTATATTCCAAATTTTTCATCGATAACAAACCGCAACAGGTGTATAGGTTGTTACTTTTAAATATAGTTTACAAAGTTTGATACATGATCGTAGAGTTATTTTACTGTTATCAAACAAGTGCCTAATTACCTAGTGTTTTAAAGGGATTGTAAAGAGAAGTCTGATTGAAAATTGGAATGGCACAAATTGATGCTATTAGTGTTACTGATACACATAAACAGAAAATTCAGAAAACCTCATTACAATCCCTTTAAAGTAGAAAAAATAGACGATGATGCTCGGAGCACACAAGCGCTTTGGGCATTCATCTACAGTATGTCTATTTAAATAGACCAATAATTGGTCCAGAGAATCACGAAACTCGCCCAATTGTCAGTTTAGTTTTTTTTTTAATAAATACGACTGTTACGTAATGAAAACAGCATATATGGAGCTACAGTTGGAATTTGTATTGCTCCCAAATCTTTGGAATATTTACAAATGCAGAACGGACATGTACAACGGCAAAGAAAATGTGTCTTTTTGATTAAAGATGAATTGTCATGCAAATTTTGTCCATCGCATTTTTATCACTAGGTTCTATAGTTTGACATACTTTGACTGTAATAAGTAGTCCGATACTTTATTATACTGATCAAAATGAAATGAAATGAGTTTTACGTCCTACTTTTCTGCACCATGTGGGCTAATGAAGATGAGCAACTCCATTTAGGGTACAATGAGAGAAATTTTGCCAGGACAGCGGCATTAACCTGTTCTTTTAACATGCTGATTAGATTGCAACATTGTGGACAGGGCTTAAAATATTACAATAATGTGAACTGGGTTTGAAACGGTTTGAGATACATTGACTGTATTAGACGCCTACGAATATTTTAACCAGTAATTTTAGGATCGAGAAACATTTTCAAGGTCAATCTTTTTATAAGCTTTTCTATTTCTAAATCAGACTTTTCGATAACAAACTATTTAGATATTTTTTATTTTACTCGAGAAGTATTTAAAACTAATCAATGTCGGCACGACTTTGAAGGTAAAGCCTCATTTAAAGTAGAACTATCTGCAATCAAAGAAGCCAAAAACTTCACCGAGTCCAAAAAACCTTCATATATTGACCCAGGACATACAGAAGCCTTGTAGAAGTGGACGTTTCTGCAATAATATTATTCGAGATGGTGAGCTCGCCCATGAGCCCGGGCACAAAGGAAACACACTAAGAAAAGTTTGGCGCCATCGGCACCATATCTTTTGTGAGAAATATTACCAAAACCGTTATCTCATTGCACGATTAGGTAATCAATAATGTTTTACATGTTCATAAGTTAGCTATTGTTGGCGATTATTCGCATCTGTAAGTTGCCAAGTCGTTCCAATAATGACAAATATTAAAATAACACCCTTGGTCAGAAAAAATCTAAAAGACGTGTTTAGGACAAATATCAAATTTCATGAAAATTTAATTCGGAAATCGCCAAGAATTAGTGCCAATGTCTCATAGTTAAAAACATATTTGTATTAAATAAGTGTAAACACATCATGTTAGTATATTGTGTTAAATGGAGAAAGGATAATCCCTCAGCTTCTGTTATTTTGAAACTTTCCCAAACATTAACCTTCCTGTAACATTTGTGAAAACTTCTAATTAAATTGTTTACGCATGTATTTTTTAAAACCTATTCTTACATTAGATAAAATGAAAATTCTACCGACTGTAATTTCAATTCTGAAAAGTTTTAACCGAGTAAATTAGATTATATTTTTCTTAATTCTTAAATGTGAAGATAACTCATGAATACGCATGTTATTTGGATTAGAAGAGAAATAAAGGGGATTTTTTTTGTCAAAGTCGTATTCTTTTTTGGGGTAATGACATGGAATGTTACGTTTTACGTTCGATAGTTCAGTACCTTATTATGCTTTTGAAATGATAAGAGTTTCACTGAAGGGGGGTGAGCAAGAAGACAAAAAACCTACCTCCGCCATTTTTATAACATAGATGAGGAAATCTCCAAACATTGGCCAAATCTACAGCATATCCAATAACTGACAGTAAATACTCCGCTTTCTTATTCCATACTTCACGTGGTCCGTCATCCTTATCAAGTATCGTTTGCGTCTCATCTGAGTTGCCGTCGTCATTTTCCACGGGCGGTAACTCAATTTGGTCACTTCCCGGAAGCTCGATTGTCACCTCATTCTGAGGGAAGGTTTCAGGGACGTCATTGTCTATGTTATAAATACGATGCACATCAGAGTAATCGCCGGCCTCTTCGCTGTCCATTCTGTGTGGTGCCTTCTCGGGATCCTGATCGCCTGCTTCCGATTCGGACACTGTCCGACTGTCCAGCGATTCATTTGATTTATTCTGAAACAGAGGATATTGATTGTAAGATGACCAATACAGATTCTGAAGTGTTACAAATGCCTGTGGGGTGAACATTCAAGAATCTGTATATTAAAGATTGTATTGCCAAAGTTTTCTTGATGATGTTTGTTTTGCAGTCAATTGGCATTAATTTCCTGATCTGACTCCACAGGCGTTTACAGAATTCGACAAGGGTCAAAACGGTGCATAATATATTTCAGAGAGCAAAGGCAGGAAGCGAATAAATATTTTTCAGTTTCGGAGATACAAAATGAAAGCTTTCTCCCTATTTGCTTTGATACAAAGTGAGTTGCATAAAAATTGACGACGCCCAATGTCAATTATGCCCTTCTTTCAAAGAAAATCGAGAAAAATTTATCAAAAGGTATAGGCGTATAGAAAACACCCAAATGTTTAAAATTGGCAGTGTATCACAGTAATCAATAAATATGACAGAATGTACAAATTGTAATAAATTAAATCAAAGAACAGGTGTAGTGTCGGCGCCAGCATCTTTGAGCTTGGGGTATAAATAAGGGGCAGACTGACTTAATGGGACAAGTGTGCCATTTTTGGGGGGTTGATTTTAGTCATGAATATATGTAAATAGTCTTCAGAAGTACTAGAAATGAACGGAAATCACACAATTCCTTTAAAAATACTTCAAACTAGGATTTTTACTTACTATTTCTATATATGTATTTTCTATATATCACAGTGTATCTTAAATAGACGAGTCATCAATTTAACACTCAAACGTGGATAATTCTGGACACACGTGGATTTGAAGGCTCAAATTTCGATGGTGAGCTGTGAACACTATTACTGATTAGCTCAACAGAAAAATTTCTGAGACTAAAGTATGATTGGTCAAAAAAGTGGTCGAGATTGGGATGTAAGCTTTATAGCCTCACAGTGAGGGTTTGGGTGGGGATATTGGGTCGATCAAAAAAATTGAAAAACTAAATCAATTAGATGCTTTCTGACACATAGATTTGAAGAAAAAAAAACGAATAAAAATCATATTTAAAAATTCTTAGAAGTGAAGTAGGGGTACAATTTAGCGCACTTACTAAGTCTTCCTGTACCCCCACTGGCGGCGTCAAGGGTGATATTGTCTTCTAATAGAATACATTTGAATCTTTCATAACCTATTTTTACATTAGTTCTGTTGATTATATAAATGTTAGAAATGAGTAGTGTATCACAGTAATCAATAATAATGACAGAATTAACAGTGTGTAATAAATTATATCAAGAAACAGGTGAAAATATTCTCATATAGAATAGCTCTTACTATTCTTTACCTATCTTTACCTATTCTTACATTCCGATTAAAATACAGATTTGATCATTCGGTTCGCGAGTGTTCTGTTAGTTATGTTACTGACAATATACAAGTCTAGTAGCTATAGAATATACACGGAAAAAGACCTTCATCTGAGTTTCTTTTTTGATTTATTCATCATCTGAGCTTTCATTCAGATTCAAATTTTGTGTTTGTATTGTGCTTTATGTGAGTAGCAATATGAAGTAACCCACATAACAAACACAAAACGAAACATGCGGGTCTTTTTCTCCACCAAACCCTCTACCTTTTTACTTCGGCCCAGTGTTGAAGGCTTTAATGTCAACATTCCCTTAACAGTAAGTTGGAAATCAGAAGGTTGTGATGACACAATTTCCCTCAATGTACACTGCCTGCATAACATAGCAAGTTTTCATTAGACATATAACTTAAAGTAGGACAAAGCCCATGCTTATCATTGACCGAACGAAAAGTGTCTTCATTTAGCTAAATAGCTTGAATACTGTGGAAAGATGTAGGACAAAGCTCTAGCTAATCATTGTCCGAAAAGAAAGGTGTTTAGTTTTGTATAAAATAAAAGGAAATTAAGAGCACTGGGAATTATATAATAGTAAGTTGATTACAACTGTTAAACCCATTCACTTATCATACATGCACTACAAACTATGTTAAATTCTGATAAGTCAAAGCCACGTGAAGTGAGTATTGAAAACGATGGAGATAAGCGGTGAATTCTTCGAGTTATTTGAAGTAATGTGTACGACCCCCTGCAGAGCCAATCAGGTGCGGTATAACAAGTGAATTTCAGTCCTTTCATAAACATTATTAGTTCGTTATGCTATCATGATAAGATTGAAGTGAGGTTTAACGTCCTATCTGTAATTTTGGACTAATGATCTGGAATAGAAACACTCGTACCTGTAGACGTTACATTGTTCTGCACTTTATTGGCATATGAATTCAAACGGAGCTTTTCATCTAATTGGTCTATAGCTTATGGGGCAAGCGAAATGAGCACTTAAAAACTTATTTGATACAAGAAAGATGGCTAATACAGTCAAAGTATAAGACGTAATAACTAAGCCATAGTTGGGTCATAGTTGGGTGATGTCTGGTGTAACCCAGTGTTAGGCCATAGTTTGGTTATATCTTGTTTAACCCAGAGTTAGGCCATAATTGGGTGATGTCTGGTGTAACCCAGAGTTAGGCCATAGTTTTGTTATGTCTGGTATAACCCAGAGTTAAGCCATAGTTGGGCCATAGTTGGGTGATGTCTGATGTAACCCAGAGTTAGGCCATAGTTTGGTTATGTCTGGTATAATCCAGAGTTAGACCATAGTTGGGTCATAGTTGGGTGATGTCTGGTGTAACCCAGAGTTAGGGCATAGTTTGGTTATGTCTGTTATAACCCAGAGTTAGGCCATATTTGGGTCATAGTTGGGTGATGTCTGGTGTAACCCAGAGTTAGGTCATAGTTTGGTTATGTCTGGTATAACCCAGAGTTAGGCAATAATTGGGTCATTGTTGGGTGATGTCTGGTGTAACCCAGAGTTAGGCCATAGTTTGGTTATGTATGGTATAACCCAGAGTTAGGCCATATTTGGGTCATAGTTGGGTGATGTCTGGTGTAACCCAGAGTTAGGCCATAGTTTGGTTATGTCTGGTATAACCCAGAGTTAGGCCATAATTGGGTCATTGTTGGGTGATGTCTGGTGTAACCCAGAGTTAGGTCATAGTTTGGTTATGTCTGGTATAACCCAGAGTTAGGCCATATTTGGGTCATAGTTGGGTGATGTCTGGTGTAACCCAGAGTTAGGTCATAGTTTGGTTATGTATGGTATAACCCAGAGTTAGGCCATAGTTGGGTCATAGTTGGGTGATGTCTGGTGTAACCCAGAGTTGGGCCATAGTTGGATGAATGTCTGGTGTAACCAAAAGTTAGGCGATAGTTAGATATGTCTGGTGTGACTGATGTAACCCATATCAAGGTGATGTCGAGTGAATCATCTTTGAAAGGACGGAGTTGCGTTTGAGTTTATTTAAGGTGATGTCTGGCTTATCTATTCTTTTTTTTTGTCTGAATATTTCAGAGCTCAGTGAACCTAAACATGTCAAATCTAGTGTGATAGAGTCAGAATTAATGAAACATTGTAGAATCTGCTGCAATCATTAAAATATTTATTGAATAGCGGAGATAATATCTGATATGTAACGTGTATGATGTGCAGATAGCCACGAGGTATACTGAGTTAGTATAAGCCTTGTTACTATTTCAGTGGGCTGATATAAACACTAACTAGTCTTGTCTATATTCCCGAATCAAAATGAGTTTTTTAAATTATTTGAAATAAGCAAGCTGTTGTAAGGTAAAAAATGATGGCCAACATTTGGTGTTTTTGGTTTGAAAGTTTTTTGATAACGTTCGATTGAAGGTGTGGGAAAATTTTTAATTCGTTTTCTTCATGAACGCCCATATAAAATAGATACCTTGTGATCCGCATAGTTTACATCCTCGTTTAAACCACACCACATGCGAGTGTGGCTCATCCAAATAGTATCGAATGCAGCGGTGGTTTAAACAATCAATGTGATCTCTTTCATACGAGAGAATTACAAAACAAACCGTATGTAGACGCGTGTTTATTGGATAGTTTGAAATTCACGTGACATCATGAATATGACCTCAGTCCCCATTACGAGGTTTATCGGTAGAAATATGTCACAGTTTAGGACGAGGTGATATGTGATTTCAATGTATTCTTCGTAAAAATAGACAGTAAGAATTAGATGCGAAATAAAAAAAAACCATTGACATACCGTACTTACTAAAACATGAACCGACATTAAACGATCAGAATCGATCAGGAAACGACCAGAAACGACCAGGAAACGACCAGAAACGATCAGGAAACAACCAATGAAAAAGTGAATCGATCAGGAAACGACCAGAAACGATCAGGAAACAACCATTGAAAACGTGAAACGACCAGGAACCGAGCAGGAAAACGACAGGAAACGACCTGAGCTATTTTGTGGTGAATTCTAAGCATGATAATAAGGTATGTTAGCATACAAACAATAGGACGTATAGATTAATATCATTTCGTTTGATCTAATTACACCATCTTTTCTTTTACTGAATCATAACAACAATTGAATTTTGTTGATATTTTATAAAGAATATTAGTTTGTACTGAGTAGTTTACAGTATCATTGCACCAATCAACCCAAAACAATTACCAATCCTTTGACCAACTTTTTAAACAACCTTTTTTTATATATTGTGTGTTTCGTCAATTGTTTTGAACCCAACCTTATTCCAGGTTATAAATATCATAATTAGCTACTAATTCTGTACGGAGAGCATTTAGACCGATCTATACATAAGATAGCTGAATTGTGGGAGTCCGAAGAGGTACACTTTGATTTAGATTTTTCCAATAACACAATTGACATATCATTTATTTTAAGGCTGATTCTTTTTGGGAAACAACGGGGTGGAAAAAAGTTATTACGCGAATGGTTGCGAAAAAATGAAAGTGGTCATAAGTTCCGAACACAATCCACTACTCAGTAGCATGAGAGTTGCATTCGAAACTAATGACCGCAATTCTTATAAGGCCAAACTTAACTGGTGATCGATAGTGTGCGAGGGACGCTAACGATTAATAAATAATAATAATGACGATATAAACCAGCAATTAAATCCTCGTGAAATTTCTCAAGGCGCACTCTAGTGATCTCAATTGGTGAGTTAATGATAGTAACCAAACAACCAAGTTTTCACTTTACATTTAAATGCAGACACAGATTCACATTATCGAATTGATTTCGGTAATTTATTCCAAATTACTGATGCACTGGTATGGAAAAGTTCTGGAGCCAAATTTTTTCAGGTTGTATGAAGTGAAGGAACCTCAAGTAACATTTGTAGGCTTGTATAGTGACAGTAGATTTTGAAGATAGCATGGGGAAGTTTTGTTGACGGTCTTATACGTCAGCGATAATATTTAGAAATTGATCTTTCACGAACACGAAGCAAGTGTAGATCATTTAAAACAGGAGTAATGTGTGATCTTGTTTTGGTTTAAGTAACAATTCGGGCGGCCCGATTTTGGATCATCTGTAGCTTAGAAATCTGTTCTTCTGTTATACCAGTAAGTATTGCATTGCAATAGTCAATTCTGGATAGCAGAACTGATCGATCTAAGCAAGCAGCAGCATCTTTTGTTATGAGATGACGAATAGACCCGATCATTCGCAGATGGAAGTGGCAAATCTTACAAATGTTATTGATGTGGTCATTGAAACTTAGACCTGAATCAATCAGTACACCTAGGTTTTTTTACAATAAGGAGATGGGACTAGCTAAGAGTCATACAGATTTTTAGCTGCTGTAAATTTATGTCTGTCAAACGTCTACTGTTATAAACAGTAAGTTTCGGACTATAATGAACAAAGTGTTAACTTATTCTGTTAAAAACCAACGAGTTTTTCTAAATATTATGAAAAAAGTCAAGTGGAACTGATGTCGTGTATGTTAGTACCACACCTGGTATATTACAATATTACGGTAGTGGAATTTACTTCAAACGATACCAGGTAATTATAGTAGGGTGGTGTAGGTGTAATGTTTATAGACATGGTGTTGGTGATAGCAGAATAGACATCATATCGCTGCACTGACTGCACCTTTGTCCAGAAAGGTGATTTACTATGAGTTCCATTAAAAGACTCTGACAATGGTAAAGCTCAATAAGTTCTTTAGGTGCTGTAATATATCGTCCATGATATCTAATCTCTGTACCCATGAACATGATTCATTATGCAACTCGGGACAAACTAAAAACAAAAATATTTTTAATTGATTTCTGAAAGATATTAATGTTCCTCTCAACAGATGTAAATAATTGCCTAACAGAGGGAGAGGGTAGGATATATATTTACAATTGAAACATACATGGTTTGATTTGAAAACAGTTAGCTATTTACAAAATAAACGTTTGATCGACAAACGAAAATACATTTTGAGTCATATGATTACAGACTGTTCTATCTTACGTTATTAACAACAATTTGTGACCTCGTCATGATGATATCCGCCCTGACAGGACGGTATTCGGGTGTAATTTATAGCATTCTGGAGTTAGATTTGAAAAGACAAGTGGTAATTAAAATCTAATAAACTCTCAATTATCAAACAATTGGCTGGTACTAAACAAAGACTATTATAAGAACTAAAATTAATTAGAATTTAAGGAGGTAAGTGATAGAAGTTATCTCGAAGGTTTGTCCAATATACCTAACATCCTTCAAAGAAATGAAGTTAAGAGGCGAAAAAACTAACGGTAATTTATTTTAAAGATTTGTAAACTTTTGCCAAAAAAATCCGTGTGAGCAAGACGATTCCGTTAAAAAAATATCTCGTTCAAAGTATGGCAAAATCAAAATATTATAGTTATAGGTTTTATAGAAGATACTCTCCTGTAGAAGCACTGGCCTAGGTATATATAGTAGTAGAAGTACCACCAGTTGTTTCGAAAGAGTGAGAATTTTCTGCTTAGCTAATATCTCTCTTGAGGATGTCGAGTAGCTTGAGGATAATACAATAGGCATAAATATCAAGCAGTAATCACACTATAAGGTGATTAGGTGCCGTGGGTTCGATTCCTCCTTTAGGTAAGAAAATTCTGATGCAATGGCCATGTTACCTGTTTTGAGATTAAGAATTGAGAGTAAGATTGCAGTTTTCTTATAAAACTATAGTTAATTAATGTCTAATTATGAGTTCTGATGTAGCCCATGCTTTTTGGGGTTTATTTTTCGGGTTTTGATAATTTTACTCTCAGTCCTTGTCACACTTCGCAAGTAGTGGGCTCGAAAGATCTTCCAAGTAAACTATCTAGTTTTGCTTGTTGGTGATGCCGAGTTGTTTACAAGGGTATCGTGTGGTAGCTCACGTGGTTGCAAGCATCCTCCATCCCCATCAAAACTTGATCCGTCTTGGGGGGATTCGAATCTTCGGTACATAACTAGCAGACTATAGTAATTCAAACCACCGATTGCGATTGGTAATTTCCTCTGACGGCCAGACCAGAATGGTAAATCCAACCAATCTGTTTGAATTAAGAGTTATTATAAATATTTGAAAAGATAGAGTTAGATACAGAGACAAGTAGAGTCAAGTGCCCTGGAATCATTCACTCGATAATTTATAAACTGTTGTTTTGTTGTCCAATCTACCACTATACTAGTGATTGACACCAAGGCAGATTTTTGTTTGTTTCGTTCCCTTTCTGTGGATTACATCGAGCACGTCACTGTCAAGCTATTACGAACTGCATCTAATACCTTGACTACAGTAGATACCTTTGTTGTATCACAGATGGTAGTAAATAAAGTGATTTGATTGGATTGTACGCTAGCGAATACAATCAAACGTTTATAGCCCCCGATTACAAGCGCAGCCAAATTGTTTACAGTGTTTCTGTCGAGGACTTGTCCAATTTTTATGTTGTAAATTTTTTACAAGCCACGGTTTGATTGTAAATTTGATTATTATGCTGATGATGGTTGTCGTCCCTTCAAAATTATTAGAGGGATTATAATCAAATACTTAGTTTCGGTGAAATTTTGCAGTAGCTTTAGATGCCTGACTGAAAATGTAAATGGTGTAAATTGATGCTACCAGTGTCCCTGATATACATACAAATTTTTAGAAAACCTCTTTACAATCCCTTTAATTGTAACAAATTTTCATGGGGCAGTTACACTAATTTGTAACTGATTTTATGCCAAGTTGAAACGATAGCGTCTTCTTATTCTAAACTATAATTCTATTAAAACCCAATATATATTCATATTAGTTCAAGGTGACACCAGTTGCAAGTTTATTAAATTTTGAAAAAGACATTATGAATGAGCTACTCATAAGTTAAACGAAACCTCGCCTTCGTTATTGTAAACATTGCATATTTCCTGTGTTTGTGTCTCGATTGCTAATTTTCAATTATTTTTTGGCATATCTATTTAAGTTACTCTCTGGTTTAATTGTTAATTAAACAACTATTAAAACTAACTTTCAATTACCAGTAGAAGGGCTACTTTTTAACAAAATCCAGACGGTTCTGATTAAAATCTATTAAAACACTTCATTTCTCGCGTTTTGTAATACTAGTTCTTAACCTACATCAACTCATTTCATAACACAATATGAGAAGGGTATTTTATTCTAGTTCAAGCCCCCCTTCCCCCCTCCTTTATCCTGATTTAGAGCTTCCCTTCTACTCGTGGGACCAGCACATAAAGAAACTCAACCAGAACAAGATTGGCGTCATAATCACTATTATCCTCATTTACTAGAACTCATCTCATTTACTAGAACTCATCTCATTTACTATAACTCATCTCATTTACTAGAACTCATCTCATTTACTAAAACTCATCTCATTTACTAGAACTCATCTCATTTACTAGAACTCATCTCATTTACTAGAAATCATCTCATTTACTAGAACTCGTCTCATTTACTAGAACTCATCTCATTTACTAGAACTCATCTCATTTACTAGAAATCATCTCATTTACTAGAACTCGTCTCATGCTATCGACACGGATATGAAATCGTCAGGACAGCGTTGTGGGGGAAAAATATCAAAATATCAGGCACGTGAGCAAATAAAACACGTACCAACGTTCCGAACCGCAAAACAAAACCCAAAATCCGAAACCAGAAATCCGTAACAACATCTTGACGAAATATCGGTAGCAAAGTAAGCCAACTAAATGAGGAGGAGCCACAAATCGACATCCTCTGTGAATGATAATGTGTTAGGGACATAAGGGGCGACAGAATTATCAAGAGAGCTGACAGGCAATTCCTTTCCTATTTTAAATGATAACAAATTTGAAAGTGCAACCGTAGAGACACCAGGACCATGGTCTTTTAAACTAAGAATATAACAAGAAAAACCTTACCCTTTTTAATTCAAATCCACCAGAATACTCAGGTAGTTCCGCTAGGTTAAAATCCAGTTTATATTCTGTTGCCACAAACACTATGGATGCCGACCATTTCCTAAAACTTGGTTGTTTTAAGGGTCGCTTGGTGAATCTATCTGGAAGAAGACTAGCAAACCACGTGACTATCTTCAGATCCTTAAAATGTCTGTGAAGACGCCGCATTTTCTCATAAAGGGTCATTTTGTCCCCTTTTTATGTCCCCTCGTGACACAAAACTTCAAACTTACAAATACTGATAGTTTTAGTCACATTTTAACTCGTTCACATTATCACAATGTCTTTAAATCTTAGAATTTGTCATTTCCCAGAGAGTCTTATTTAAACTGCAACTACTGAAGCTATCTGGAATAGAAAAAAAAAAATGATTTGAATTTTCTTAAGGGTGGGTAATTTATCTGTTTTCCTGTAGAAAATATTTGGTCTGTCTATATTCAATAAACCAGAAAATTTAAGGTTTTTGGGATATCTTTTTCGTATTGTCATCATCTTAAACGATTAAAACTTAAACACCTTCACGATATCTGTCAATTTGTTAAGAAAATTTTGTTCAAAGTCTTTTTTCCGAATCGTTTCTCATTAATGATGGCTGATATATCTCCTCTCAACTTATCACAATTATTCCAATAATATCAAACAACTTAACTAAACGATTACAGATGAAAGATAATTGAAGAGTTTTCTATACAAACTGTATCGGTGTTTTGAAAATGTTTATAACTTCCAATCAAAGTTGAATTCACATATCTTAACTTGAAATACTTTTAACTGAATCAAGTGATAGTAAACTGAATCAAGTGATAGTAAACTGAATCAAGTGATAGTAAACTGAATCAAGTGATAGTAAACTAAACTGAATCAAGTGATAGTAAACTGAATCAAGTGATAGTAAACTGAATCAAGTGGTAGTAAACTGGAAAAAGCGAAGACTGTGTAACTTTGGAATGAAATCAAATTTCCATTTAAATCTAAAGGTTATGAGTCTCCTGCCGTTAAAACCATAGCTGCTGAACAAGACATGTGATTTCCAATCTGTAAAGTGATTTAGAAAGCTGTGATAAAGTTATACATTAGTATATGTACATGTATTACATGCTACTTTTTAAATTATTTGTTATTACATACAATATTCTAACTATTATATACCTTGCATTTCATTGTATATTTCGTGTACGAGGGGCTGACATGGAAAAAGCGTCTAGTCGTTCGGACAATAAACCGGACGTAAAACTCCATTCATTTCATTTCATTACATTTCATTGTATGTTTCGTATACAATATAATTATGGATTGGACGATTTTATTGTATTTAACTTTTCAATGAATATTTAGTCAATGGTGGCGCCCGTGGGGGTTGAGCCACTGACTTTATCACACCACAGGGGTACCAGCTAATACCACAGGGGGTGCCAGTTAACATTACAGGGGATACCGTATCTAAGTACGATTTCGAACTATCGTTTTTAGATAGAAGTTGTTTCATATTATAAACAAAATTACCTTAATTTTTTCACCTACAGCCACAAATATATTTACATTGAAAACAGGGTTCTTCGTTACTTTCTGTGATGTTTACTGGTACCCTCATCTGGCACTAGAATCACAACTTAAGGACAAGGGTTTTACTATTGTTTCATTTTATCTTGTCAATTGATCCAGTAAATATTAATATTATATAATAGTACACGTTGTTTTATCAGTTTACACGTTTTAACTCGTAGTTTTCTTTGAAACGCTCAGTTAACTAGAAATAGGGTCTACATTACACATCCCGGTAGCCATTTTAATATTTTATCACAGTGAATCGTTTGTAAGGTATATATAACTATATTTCAGTATTTCTAGTGAAAGATGATATACCATAACATAGTGAAATCATTCTGTTTGTCTGTTGAAGGTATATATAACTATATTTCAATATTTCTAGTGAAAGATGATATACCATAACATAGTGAAATCATTCTGTTTGTCTGTTGAAGGTATATAGAACTATATTTCAATATTTCTAGTGAAGGATAATATACCATAACATAGTGAAATCATTCTGTTTGTCTGTTGAAGGTATATAGAACTATATTTCAATATTTCTAGTGAAAGTTAATATACCATAACATAGTGAAATCATTCTGTTTGTCTGTTGAAGGTATATAGAACTATATTTCAATATTTCTAGTGAAAGATAATATACCATAACATAGTGAAATCATTCTGTTTGTCTGTTGAAGGTATATAGAACTATATTTCAATATTTCTAGTGAAAGATAATATACCATAACATAGTGAAATCATTCTGTTTGTCTGTGGAAGGTATATAGAACTATATTTCAATATTTCTATTGAAGGATAATATACCATAACATAGTGAAATCATTCTATTTGTCTGTTGAAGGTATATAGAACTATATTTCAATATTTCTAGTGAAAGATAATATACCATAACATAGTGAAATCATTCTGTTTGTCTGTGGAAGATATATAGAACTATATTTCAATATTTCTAGTGAAAGATAATATACCATAACATAGTGAAATCGTTCTGTTTGTCTGTGGAAGGTATATAGAACTATATTTCAATATTTCTAGTGAAGGATAATATACCTTACCACCACGTCGGACATTACACAACTGAATCAGTTTTTATTCTGGATGTCACCTCTCTTTATTATTACTTAGCAAAATATTCACTAAAACAATGGACGTATTAAAACAGTTGAACGAGTGTAATCTTGTTGGGGATGTATTATTCTCGAGAGTGTTCAATGTGTACAGTGTGTAACAACTTTTTATTTTGTACTAGTATCTCACTGATATACCTTTCTACCCTCATAGTTTACCAGATTTAAACCCGTGGTTCTACCAACAAGCAGGAACAATATATTATAACGGCTACATCTTTAATCAGAATCAAACACTACGGTACTCAAAGGAAACGATTTCGAAAAGATTTCCAAAGTGGATATTAACTTTATCATTAAAAAGTTGCTTTTTGATAGGAACCAAAAGCTCGTTTCATCTAAAGCATACAATTTCTGGAACAATCAAATCGCAAATACCGAGGTTCCATAGGATTTGTTCTCAACAGACTGATTTTGATTCCGCGTACACATTTTTTCAGTGAAAGACCAAAGAGGATAATGACGCCAGCTTAAATTGAAACTTCCGAAGAATTGAGAACTTAGTGATAATACTTTCGAAGAAGGCAATGGATTTTCGTTATGGATTTTCGTTAAAATATCCCGTTATTATAGTGTTTCTATATTCATTCACTTACCGTATTATACTAGGCCTATAATTGCTATGTCCAATTTAAGAATTTGTTTTCGCATTGTATATCGTTGTTTCCTGTTCAGTTACTATTTTTTGATATATGTCGGCGATTGTTCACGTGCCTGTTTGCACTTTCTTGTGCTTGTGCTCTCAATTTTTTGGCCTAGTTTGCGCTTTTTAGTTGAATCCCCTTCTGGATTTGGCTCAAAACCTTGTGGTTGTCCTGGTTGTCGTACCTGTAAACATATACTTATTTCTCGTTTCTTTAAAAGTAGTAAAACTGGAAAAACTTTTCCCATGACTGACCAACTTTCATGCGGTGACCAAAATCTGATTTACCTAATTTCATGTAAAAAATGCAACGTTCAGTACATTGGTGAAACTCAGAACGCGTTACGGTCTCGCTTCAATGGCCACCGTTACGATATCGTACATGGCAAAAATATTCCAATTTCATATCATTATAATCTACCCGACCATTCCATTGAAGACTTGTTGATTATGCCGATAGAACAGATAAAACCCACGCCCTTTATTAAACCCAAACAACGTAGATTACAGCTTAAAAGTTATTGGATACATCAACTCCAAACTCTTTACCCACATGGTTTAAATATTCAACACACAACACAAGGAACATTTGATTGCCCCGAAGGCATGTTTTACGGGCAAAAATCTCATAACTAGGTTAGAAATATGGGCAACTTCAGGTATGCCCCCCCCCCCCCGCCCCCCCTTCGGACGTAAACCTCCGCCACTGATCACCAACAGTATACGACGCTATCCCTTTAACTTGATGTTTTGAACAATGATTAATTTAAGAATAATTAAACCCATAAATAACTCACCACGTGCCTACCTTGTGATGAAATTTAAATCTACACATCCAATTAAGCTTAGATTTTGAAATCACTAAATAATAAAGTTATAACTTAAGTTTTAGGCTACTTTTGTATTTAGACCAAGTATGGAAAAAAATCCTATTAAGCAATGCCATAATTATCTGAAATCCCTTTCAGAGAGTCCACACAGTCAATTATGGTAAAGTTGGTATTATGATCATTTTGATAAAATAGTTGCTAAAAACAACAATATCCATAAGAATTTTGATATTACAGTTTTTCATATCAAACTTTACTGTGGTTTACTGTTGTACCAATGTCTGCTTATAGACACACCAGATATCACCTAACTCTGGGTTTTATTCTAGAGAATGGTCCACTGTTGTACTATTGTCTGTTTATAGACACGCCAGATATCACCTAACTCTGGGTTTTATTCTAGAGAATGGTCTACTGTTGTACTATTGTCTGTTTATAGAAACACCAGATATCACCTAACTCTGGGTTATATTCTAGAGAATGGTCCACTGTTGTACTATTGTCTGTTTATAGAAACACCAGATATCACCTAACTCTGGATTATATTTTAAAGGGTGGTCCACTGTTGTACTATTGTCTGTTTATAGAAACATCACATATCACCTAACTCTGGATTATATTCCAGAGGGTGGTCCACTGTTGTACTATTGTCTGTTTATAGAAACATCAGATATCACCTAACTCTGGATTATATTCTAGAGGGTGGTCCACTGTTGTACTATTGTTGTTTACAGAAAACTAGACATCACCTAACACTGGGTTATATTCTAGATGGTGGTCCACTGCTGTACTATTGTTCTTTGCAGAAAACTAGACATCACTTAACTCTGAGTTATATTTCAGAAGGTGGTTCGCCACCTTTTTAGAGCCCTACACATTATCAACGATGCCACCTTTTTTTAAACATTAGGGCCTACACATCCCGTAACTCTGGGTTACCACCAAACAGTGAAGTATTGTCGTGCAATGTATTTCCATTCCATAATATATCGAAGAATATCGTACGTTATTGTCTTATCTTTATGATTTAAATAAAATTATGAAATACTAACTTTATGTCAATTTTCACCTGGTGTTTCAATCAACTTTGTTTAACATTATAAAATAAAATAATTTCCAACGAATAAAAAGATAAACACAATTCCCAAACGGTAGAAATAAATTACTTCCTAATTCCCGTTTTATCAACTCTCGGTTCACAGTTTTGAATTTATCTGAAAGTAAACTTCAGTTTAAATTGAAGTTGCTATGGAACGAATCGTCGTGACGTCATATTCAAATATTTAAATTGTGCCAAGTATGAGATATAGAACTAGTGAAATTGCGTAGGTTTCCTGTCGAATTTGCTGAAAGAATGAAATAAAGATTTATCGAGAACTCCTGTAGGGTATATGGCTGTTGAAATTAGATTTTGGTTCTACAAAAAGTTCGTGTATTTTCGTAATGTGTGGATTAGTTAATTATAAATGCATTTATTTCTGTGGGGTCTGCAATTTTAATTTTGCCGAGCTTCTTTGAAGTGTAGAAAACAAAAAGCGGTAATCTTGTAGGTCTATTGTAAACTCGAATTTTACTGAAATGTAAATTACTTTATCATGTCCTCTGGCAGCTGTCCCTACAAAGTTCCGTTCTGTTCTATCATGTCCCGTTCTGTTCTATCATGTTCTGTTCTGTTCTATCAGGTCCCGTTCTGTTCTATCATGTCCTGTTCTGTTCGATGATGTCCCGTTCTGTTCTATCATGTTCTGTTCTGTTCTATCAGGTCCCGTTCTGTTCTATCATGTCCTGTTCTGTTCTAGCATGTCCTGTTCTGTTCTATCGTGTCCTGTTCTGTTCTATCAGTCTTGTTCTGTTCTATCATGTCCTGTTCTGTTCTATCATGCCCTGTTCTGTTCTATCAGGTCCCGTTCTGTTCTATCATGTCCTTTTCTGTTCTATCATGTCCCGTTCTGTTCTATCATGTCCTGTTCTGTTCTATCATGTCCTGTTCTGTTCTATCAGGTCCTGTTCTGTTCTATCAGGTCCTGTTCTGTTCTATTATGTCCCGTTCTGTTCTATCATGTCTTGTTCTGTTCTATCATGTTCTGTTCTGTTCTATCAGGTCCTGTTCTGTTCCATCATGTCCTGTTCTGTTCCATCATGTCTTGTTCTGTTCTCTCATGTTCTGTTCTGTTCTATCATGTCCTGTTCTGTTCTATCAGGTCCTGTTCTGTTCTATCAGGTCCCGTTCTGTTCTATTATGTCCCGTTCTGTTCTATCATGTTCTGTTCTGTTCTATCAGGTCCTGTTCTGTTCTATTATGTCCCGTTCTGTTCTATCATATCCTGTTCTGTTCCATCATGTTCTGTTCTGTTCTATTGTATACATTGATAATCCACAATGAATTGTATTTTAGAAGTACCGACTAGATTTTGAAGTAAAGAGAAATCTGAGCATTTGTGTTACAATTAACAAATTTCCAAAAGATTCCACAGATCTTATCGTCGAACATAGAAATTATTTAGAATTATTGTCTCATTGTATGTGTCCACTGTCGCATTAGAATCAATTATTTTTCTTCTTTGAAAGGTAGTCCACTCCAATTTTAAGAGTGTAGTGAATCAATATAATATACATTCCCAATATTACATATTATTTTGCCTGAAACAATGTCAGCTTTTCTGTAGTCCTAAATGGACAACAAAATTAGCTGTGGTCTGACATTACCGGATAACGGCGACTACTAAATGGAGTTACCTCTCTTACTTCGTATAAGGAAAATGGCGACCGAAACTGACAATAAAATGACTAACTGAATATTTTAAGTAAACAGCGACCTGAATAGTCCTTCAAGTTGAACATACGGAAGAAGATTAAGGAATATGTAAGGATTATCCGTTTGAAATAACGTTTCGCTTTCTCAGATGGATTTGGGAGGCGTTTCTCGGTTCCAGTTTTTGACAGGTGTGAATCTTTATTATTTTCTTATTTTTAATAATCAACATAAATACTACAGGCCTACCTATGGACTTTGGTGTTCGTCTAGAATGACGGATACAATTTTTAGTCTTAAATATATTTTCTTTTTCAATTTTGTTCATTGTCCTCTTGGACAGATAAGAAATGTCCAGTCGTATATACTGTATTTAGTGGATAGTCCAACACTTGCACTAGTAATGAAATCTTGTTAACTTATTCAATTGACCTGACCTATTGTTTGTTGTCATGGTCAGTTTATAGTATATGTAGAAGGAAAGGGATATTTAATGTCAATCCTGTAATTTTATGCTATGGAACATTTTGTCTCTTTGACTTATTGTTGGGTGATGTAAGAATTCTGTTAGTGTTACCCCCTTTCTTCAATTTTCTTATCATTTTTCATGGGGAACCTCTGGGAGCCCCAGACCAGCCTCATCTAATGATTCAAAGAAATGCCAAATCATCATATCAAGTCATTATCAAACTATAAGCTTATTCTTTAAATTCTGAGTTTCATAGCACATTCATGAGCTTTAGTCTATTCAAGCTAAACAATCAACACATAGACTTAGTAGGAGTAGGTGTGTCTCTTTAACAGTTATTGATTGAAAATTGATCAAAACAAATTAAAACAGGATATAATAGAGAGAAACGGAACAAGGCAGATGACACATTCAATGTCATGCACTGATTTCATCTCTTTAAAGATTATTCATACCGTACCTTTACATGTAAAAACTCATTTTTCCAATTCGGAAAATTCAACTGTGAGATCTGAAATTCGAATAGAATAGAAACTTTATTCTCCTATGCAGAAATCAAACTGATTTTGTTGAAAGTAGGTAAATAAATTATAAATATGTTGGATTGGGTGATGAAGTTTTAACTTTGGTTTGATTTTGAAGAGATAAAGGGCTTCAAATATTAATTTGCAAAGGGACACATCTAGTTTAAATTGAGCTCAATTAAGTGGTGAAACAAAATGGCATAATAATCCTCTAAATGATATTTTAAAATCAATGATAAGTTAGATAACTATTACTATGGATAAAATTGTTTGATATTGTCTTGAACAAATCCAACAAACAACTCAAAACTATGACTGAAAATTTTAAAACTATTTGACATTGGATCACAACAATGACAAAATAAGTATCTTCTATTAGATACCAGACATGAATAGAATCAAGTTAACAATCTAGCTAAGTGTTTCAAAAGAAACAGGGTGGTGCAGGTCTATATACTTACTCAGTGTAAATACATAAATTACTGTCCTTAAGTCACCTTGTATCGGCCTAGTTTTAATTTGATGTAAACATACTCTAACTTTTTATGGATAAGGACATGATTTTATTTTTGTTAAAACCCTTATTTTGTTACAAGATATCATTACAGTGTATATCAGTGTCTAAATTAAAGATTGACAGAAAATAAATAAGATAAGAAATTATGAATCGTTTAATAATTATTATTGTTTAAATTTTCATTGTGAATAGATAAAAAATCCAGTCCAAAATTTCTGCAGAACCAACCATGTGTCCACACATACTTCTAACACAATTTAAAGCGTATAGTCCATTGCAGATCTTGAGGAAACTTGAAAAGGAAGGTCTAATTTGACTGTGTTTTGATAGACCAAACTTATAATACTGGTACCATACTTTGAAGTCATTATAAAATATACTTAATTCATTCTTTTCAAGTTGCTGTCCACATGATGAAATTTTTCCTTGTTTTTGTGTTTTATTTTGAGAAATTATATTCCTAGTTAAAAATTTTGTCTTGATTATTTTTTAAAACTTCCTTGTCATTGATATTTTCATCCTTATGAGTTTTTTTAAAAGGGTGTGTTATGACGTCTGTCAGTATTCAGGGCAGGGAATTATTAATAGGTAGAGGAGGGAGAAGCTAGTCCAAACCTTTTGCCGATAAATTTCTATTTAATCAAAACATAAAATGCTTCTTCAGATTTGTCAACATCAACATCTAATTCTCAGATTGAAGTGGCCTAGACAAACCTTGACCAGAAGACTGCCCGGAACACTGCCTCCTTGCTAACTTAAACGAGTTTACAACTCTGAACACATTCATTGCCGCCCAAAATATTAGGTTGATAGACTCCTTGCAGACATCAAGTGTAAGTCTTTAACATTCCGATTTCACACAGTAAACAGTTATAATTGTCATTAAGTCACCAAACACAATCAGTTAATTAATTAATTAAGACATTACTGATTTTTATTTTTATATTTTTTATTTTTAGTGTGTTTTCTGGTGTGTCAGTATTTCCATGTCTCAGATAGCTTTGGTAAGTTATCAACAAACAAAATTAAAGGTATTGTAAAGAGATTTTCTGAACTTATTCGGTGTATTGGGGATACAGGAGGCATCAATTTACACCATTCCAATTTTCAGTCAGATGTCTGTGTTCCTCCAATTCCACTAAAACTAAGTGTTTGATGTAAGGCCATTCGTGATAAGTGACATCATCAAACACTTAGTTATAATGGAATTGCAGAAACCACGAACGTCTGATTGAAAATTTGATGCTTTCAGTTTTCTCAATAAACAGAACATTTTATAGAAAGCCTCTTTACAATCTCTTTAAAGCAACACTTCATTGTTTATTTCTATCTTGCAAATAAAATCTGAAAATATTTAGATTTTAACATTTTTTCACACACTGTCTCTTCAACATGTGGAACTATTTCATATTTCTACCATGTTTCACTAAAGCAGGTTAACATCATATTGGGGGCCAAAAAACAAATCTTCAAGATGCCAATTAAAGATGGAAATTGAAAAAGTGAAGGTTATTGCAGCTGTCCTGATAAAATTTCTCTCATTGAGCCCTGCATGGTGTTGCCGGTCTTCATTAGCCCACATGGTGGTGAAAAGTAGGATGTAAAACTCCATTAATTTCATTTCATTCTTTTCATGATAACAATCAACATGCTTGTACAGAGCCATTACTACTATATAGAATTTATAAACATGCACAAACTTCATGAAATGTCTCTTGTAGGGGAAATGCCGTTTCAACTTTTATAAAATTACCAGTATTTGGATAAAATGAACCATTATCCCATCTATTTTGTAATAAGGGAGCATAGTTGTTACTGACAAAAAGCCTTGTGTAATACAGCCAATCTGATTGTAATCAAGTGTCCTATTACACAATATTTAGTAGAAAAGGTGTTTTGAATCCTGTTATGTATATTACTATGAAGAAGAGCTATAGTATTGTCAGGTTATTATGACCTATCTCTATACATAGTTTAATTTTATATTATTCACTAACATGTTTTAATAAAGGGGCAGTTAAGATATGCCCTAGTAAAGTAGGTTAGTGTACAATATTAAGCAGTTATTCAGTAAAGAATTTTGATCCCATACGAATCAACAGAGTTATAGTATAGAATGAAATTTTTTATTTAGTACTATTTAGGTCATTTGATTACCTCAGTCAGGCTATATTCTCCAACTTAAAGAAGATTGCACAGAAAACTTCAAAAAAAATAGTAAGAATCTATAGGGGAAGGGGAGGAAATGCGATTGATCAAAGATCTTGAAAGGGGTACTAGAAAGATTAAGGATAAAAACACCTGATTAGCTTCTAGATAATAAGGTATACCTGTAAGCTTATTTATATAATTATTATAATTGTTTGACTGGAGATGGAAGATGAAAGATGAAAAAACTAACAGTAATAACATGTTTTTTTGGTTCTGTTTTAATATTTCTAATTATTGATGTGTTGTAGGATGTGGACGTGAGACAATATCAGCTGAAGAGGGTGGAGTTATAAAAAGTCCAAACTATCCTCTGAATTACCCCAGTGATTATTGTAAAACATGGTTTATCCAAGCACCTGAAGGCAAGAGAATAATCCTCCAGTAAGTATTCAAAGATGTTGCTCTGAACTCGTGATTTTGGTTAGTTCCAGCTAAAGAACTTCAGCTTTTCTTAACAACATTAATCATGGTTAGCTTTAAATAACGTGTGGGATGATACACTGACAGCTTACTATTTTTGGACCTGAAACACATAAGGGGATCTTTGGCACACATAGCACACAAGATTTATGTACGTGTTTAGAATCATTTTCCATATCAGCCCCTCAAACCTAACCATCACAAGTAGAGATGAAGGGCTATGTTAGAGTTATTTCTCAATAGCCATTTTCTAACCAATTAAAAGTTACAATTTCATATCTTATTCGTTATGTGATATTGTAGGACTACATTGTTATCTAAATACATGTAGTTTTCTACCAAAGGCCTGTCCAAAAGGAAGTATTTTCAACCAGCATGCCCTTTATAACCCAATACTTGATAAAAAAAACAGGTTTTACATAACATACTTTGATTTTTTAGAAATACTACCCTTGGGACAGTCCTATGGTAGAAAACTACATGTATGTAGATGACAATGTAGACTAAAAATATCAGAAACAAAAAGGATACAAGATTGTAATATTATTTTAATTAGATGTTAATTATTTTTTTTTAATCTGTAGGACTGAAGCAGGAAGTGATGTTAATAAACAGCATGCAGTACCAGGTTTTTGTGACCATGATATGTTGAAGTTTGGACCCACTCCTAGTAAAACATACTGTAATCTTTTCAACAGTATACCACCCTACATCTCTAGTTCCTCTCATGTTTGGATACGACTTTATACAGATTCTCATCTAACAGCCCCTGGGTTTAAATTGATCTACAAAGTGGGTAAGTATAGTTCGTTGGTTAATGTTGAGTTCAGGAGGTTGGTTTGGCACCTTACTAAAGAGATTTTGCATGAAAACGATTCTATATAATCTTCTGTCAATACACAATGTGGTTCTATACGAAACTATGTATGGTTCATTGAATTAATACACACGAACATAGGTTTGCGGTATGATCAATTGCCTTTACACACCAATAGTGCTAGTGAGACCAACATTTAAATCTTATATTAATGTTCAGATACTTTTATTATTAGTTTTCACTGTTTTATTTGATCAGCTATTTGTCAATGCCACAAATCTTAGAATTTGGCATTGTTTTTCATTGAAAGGTATTCATACCCTCTTACTGTCATGTTTATACAGTTTATCAAAACTAAACGCTAGTTTGTGTAACTGGTTTATAATAGGGAGTGATAGTAGAATTATAAATATTTGGTCAAGATAATATTTCTTACTAATAATAATTATTTTAATATGACAGTGGATGAAAAGGATATAGAAGCTAGAAGTAGTTATTGTTACTATCAGTGTGGTAATGGAGAGTGTTATAGACTGGAAGAGAAATGTAATGGATATAGAGACTGTCCTGACAACTCAGATGAAGAGAATTGTTATCAGTCTGGTAGGTTTTTATTAGTTTATATAGGAACATTGACAATAACAACACAGGGATAGGGATGTATTAATATTTCCTTTTTCAGGCTGTTACAGCTCTATGTATAGTCAGGCTAATAAAGCTGACAAGAACATTCATTTTAACGGGGATATACAAGTGCAAATATCCCCGTTCTTGGCCAATACAATTTTTTTTTTAGGAAGGTTGATAGACCTCAATATGAAGGCAGGACTATTACAGCTATTGACTATCTATAGCACTTTTCTTTTAAATGCTTTATCACCTAAAGCCCTTCATGATTAGTGAAGTTATCAAACACTTAGTTTGTGTGGAATTGCAGGAACCACAGACATCTGACTGAAAATTGGAATGGTACAAATTGATGCTATCAGTGTCCCAATACACATAAAAATTTTAGAAAACCTCTTTACAATCTCTTTAAAAGATAAATAAGCTGTCAAGGTGAAAAAAAAATTGAAATTTGTATTTTTTTAGAATCAACCCAGACAACTACACCGGAAGTACGAGAGAGGAAGCCATTACAATGTGGTATCCACGAGATAAAATGTCGTCTGAAATTAACCAATCATCTTGGATGTTTATCCTCATTACATCATTGTGACGAAAAAGAGGACTGTGTCAGTGGAGAAGATGAACATCCCCTTCTCTGTCAAATTAATGGTAATTAATTATCTTAATATCTTTAGAAATATTAAAACAGAAACTGAAACATGTAGTTACTCAGAGTTTCATGCTTCATGGTTTTATAGTATTTATCAAGTCTTTAGTACAGTTGACTGGAATTTTCAGTGAAGACAAAATTATTCAAGGTGATAGAATATATACAAAAATATATATAGAAATAAACAATATTTAACTAGACTCTCTGAAAGGAATGTCAATTTGTCAAGCCCAGTAACAAGTGTCATCAGGTGTTCTGGAAGAGGGACCATTTTCTTGACTTGCAAACAACATCATTCAGTCATTTTTATACGCCCACATGAAATGGGGGGCGTATATTGCCGTCCGTCCACAATTGCTTGTAAACACTCTAGAAGGCACAATTCTTGATGGATTTGGACAAAACTTGGCATGAGTGTTTGTTATCACCCAAGGATAAACCCTATTGAAAATCAGAAAAATCGAAAAATATTTAGTATGAGTTATTGCCCTTGTTCTTGAAAATGCGTTAAATTTTTAGCTCGTAAACACTCTAGAAGAGACAATTCCTGACAGTTTTGACCAAACTTAGCATGAGTGTTTATCACCCAAAGATAAAGCCTATTGAAAATCAGAAAAATGGAAAAATATTTAGTATGAGTTATTGCCCTTGTTCTTGAAAACGCATTCAATTTTTAGCTTTTAAACATTCTAGAAGGCTCAATTCTTGACAGATATTGACGAAACTGGTGAAATTGTTTATTATCACCTGTGGATGAATCCTATCGAAAATCAAAAAAATCGAAATATTTTTCATAGGAGTTATTGACCTCGTTCTTGAAAACGCTTTCAAATTTTAGCTTTTAAACACTAAAAGGCATGATTCTTGGCGGATTTTGACAAACCTTGGTTTTATTATTCAGTACTGCACTGAAGATTTAATATTTGCCTTGTAAAGTTTTTACAAGCTAAAAATTGAACACGTTTTCAAGATCAAGGGCAATAACTCATACTCAATATTATTCAGTATCGACCTAAAGAGTTCAAAAGAAGTGTATGACTGAAGGTTGAATATTTCATACTGGTGATTGTTACTGTACTGCTAAATATTTTTATTCAAAATCAATGAGCGTATATTACCTTGCCTGGCAAGCTATCTTTATAATGGAGCTCAAATTAATTTTTCAATTTTTTTATTTCACTTTCTTTATTCATTTATTTTTTATTTCGTTTTGTTTAATTTCATCAGATAATTCCTGTCATGAATATATACATCAAGATAAGGGAACGATATTATCACCACGTTACCCTGGAAACTACCCTAACTCTATATCCTGTGAGTACCAGATACATAGCACTGTACCTAACAGAGCTATACAACTACGCTTCAACGATTTCCATCTTCAAGCCGTAAAGAACACAGATTATTTAGTGGTGTATGATGGCCAAGATAGAACCAGTGCATTATTAGGTGTATATAATGGTATAATACATCCTCCCTATATGTTGGAGTCAAATACAGAATGGGTCCTAGTACGGTTTCGAACAGATTCTACTATTACCTCTACAGGTTTTAATATTACTTACCAAACAGCAGGTGAGAGATTCTGTTTTAGTTTCCAGTTAAATATTGTTGGTGCTATAGACTGATAATGGGCTGTATTTATCAGTTAAATATTGTTGGAGCTATAGACTGATAATGGGCTGTATTTACCAGTTAAATATTGTTGGTGCTATAGACTGATAATGGGCTGTATTTACCAGTTAAATATTGTTGGTGCTATAGACTGATAATGGGCTGTATTTACCAGTTAAATATTGTTGGTGCTATAGACTGATAATGGGCTGTATTTACCTGTTAAATATTGTTGGAGCTATAGACTGATAATGGGCTGTATTTATCAGTTAAATATTGTTGGAGCTATGGACTGATAATGGGCTGTATTTACCAGTTAAATATTGTTGGAGCTATAGACTGATAATGGGCAGTATTTACCAGTTAAATATTGTTGGTGCTATAGACTGATAATGGGCTGTATTTACCTGTTAAATATTGTTGGAGCTATAGACTGATAATGGGCTGTATTTATCAGTTAAATATTGTTGGAGCTATGGACTGATAATGGGCTGTATTTACCAGTTAAATATTGTTGGAGCTATAGACTGATAATGGGCTGTATTTACCAGTTAAATATTGTTGGTGCTATAGACTGATAATGGGCTGTATTTACCAGTTAAATATTGTTGGAGCTATAGACTGATAATGGGCAGTATTTATCAGTTAAATATTGTTGGAGCTATAGACTGATAATGGGCTGTATTTACCTGTTAGATATTGTTGGAGCTATAGACTGATAATGCGCAGTATTTATCAGTTAAATATTGTTGGAGCTATAGACTGATAATGGGCTGTATTTACCTGTTAGATATTGTTGGAGCTATAGACTGATAATGGGCAGTATTTATCAGTTAAATTTTGTTGGAGCTATAGACTGATAATGGGCTGTATTTACCACTTAAATATTGTTGGAGCTATAGACTGATAATGGGCTGTATTTACCTGTTAGATATTGTTGGAGCTATAGACTGATAATGGGCAGTATTTATCAGTTAAATATTGTTGGAGCTATAGATTGTTAATGGACTGTATTTACCAGTTAAATATTGTTAGTGCTATAGACTGATAATGGGCTGTATTTACCAGTTAAATATTGTTGGTGCTATAGACTGATAATGGGTTGTATTTACCAGTTAAATATTGTTGGTGCTATAGACTGATAATGGGTTGTATTTACCAGTTAAATATTGTTGGAGCTATAGACTGATAATGGGCTGTATTTACCAGTTAAATATTGTTGGTGCTATAGACTGATAATGGGCTGTATTTACCAGTTAAATATTGTTGGTGCTATAGACTGATAATGGGCTGTATTTACCAGTTAAATATTGTTGGAGCTATAGACTGATAATGGGCTGTATTTACCAGTTAAATATTGTTGGTGCTATAGACTGATAATGGGCTGTATTTACCAGTTAAATATTGTTGGAGCTATAGACTGATAATGGGCTGTATTTACCAGTTAAATATTGTTGGTGCTATAGACTGATAATGGGCTGTATTTACCAGTTAAATATTGTTGGAGCTATAGACTGATAATGGGCTGTATTTATCAGTTAAATATTGTTGGAGCTATAGACTGATAATGGGCTGTATTTACCAGTTAAATATTGTTGGCGCTAAAGACTGATAATGGGCTATACTTTTAGACTTGCCTGTATTTTCTAGTATGTCTGTATTATTCTGTAAAAACTTAAAAATGCAATCTTGACGAAAAACATCAAAATCTTTTAAAAAAAAATATGCCTGTAACAGAAAAAAGAAATGATAATTTTTGTTGTCTTCTTTAGAACAAACGGGTGTATCTAGAAAATGCCTGAGGGTGGAAGGGCGACATGGCCAAATGGCCCACCCCTAAAAATTCCACTGAGAACAAATCCTTGCCATTTGATTTCTATTTTCATATTTTGTTGTAGGTCTGTGTATAGCAGGGCAGACATCTTGTGGAGGGTCTGATAGAAATTGTTTTGACAGTAAACAGAAATGTAATAGAGTTTGGGATTGTAAACATCATGGTACTGATGAACTCGGCTGTGGTAAGATTTACTCCTTTATTAGTTTTAAGAAGACCAGATGGATTCATTTGGTCTTTTGTCAATTACGGCTTTTCGATATTGAAAAGCTTATGCCTCAATCCTGTGAAATTTTCCCTCATTCTACACTTCACACACTCACACTGTCTGAATGAGTTAAATGTGTGATCTCTACCTGAAGGTCCAGGTTTGTAACAGAAACTTCAACATATGGAAATTGAAATTGAAATTGAAAAAGTATAGACTCATGCTTCTGTCATACTTCATGACTTTACCTGTCCAAACATGTTTAAAAATGTAGGATGTATAACTGTATTTCATATTTATTTGATTCCATTTAATTTCTTTTCACCAAAATTAAGGCAAAATTTCCCTCATTGCACAATGCCTTGCATTGCCAGTCTTCATTAACCCAGACTCAAATACGTTTCATTTGATTTTATATTGAATTATGTTTTGTTGATAGATCACTGTAGTAAGAGTGAGTTTAGTTGTGGTCCAGGAGATTATAAATGTTATCGTGAAGATGTCCGATGTGATGGTAAGGGATTCTGTGCTGATTATTCCGATGAGAAAAACTGTAGTAAGTAGAACTTATATTTTGTATTCTTAAAGCTTAACCTGCATTTTAAGAAATATAGTTTTTTCATTGGTTAATAAAACTAAATTCAAATTAGATTTGAATGATTGATCAATCAAATGACAAGTTATAAAATCATCTCAAGTTAAGATATCAAGAATAAGGTCCCTGGGCCAATCATTTGGTTCTGATGACAAGATAGGTCATACATGACACTCAAATACACGTATAACTACTATGAATTTCCATTTAGATAATCTTAACTTTAACATTAGTGAACATTACCTTAACCCTGTGCCAGTGCTTTCTGTTGAATGGCAACCTACTAAACTAATCTCTTATTTTTCATGCCAACACCATTCATTTAGCTCTGCAGGCTTGACATGTCTTGCAAGGCACTCAATTGTTCGAGAGTCAGTGTACTGGTATGTGTGCAATGAAATAAAGGAATGTCTATTTCTGTTTCCTAGTAAATGAGAAGTTTGATATTTTTTAACGCTATCTACTGAGTTGATTTGAATTGATAGTTAAACGGACATAATGAGTTATTTTGTCTGTTTTCCAGCAAGTGATAAATGTAGTAGTCATAATGGTCTATACCTGTGTCTGAACGGAAGGTGTATCTATGAGAAATGGATCTGTGATAATTCTGATGATTGCGGAGATGGTAGTGACGAGGCTGATTGTAGTGGTGAGTTGACTCAACAGGGTCATAGACTTTCAATAATAGTTTTTATTCACACATCAGCCATATTGAATTCAATATGAGGCTCATAATTATATGACAAATGACACAGTGAATACACAGTCCTCTTTATATGCTAAAGCTTGTATTTTATTTTGAGAATTTTGTTTTTATATAATTACAGGAAGTCCAACTCGAGTAATAATAGCTGCAGTAGTTGGTTCGTTAATATGTTCGTTATTACTAGTGGTGGCTCTAGGATGTACATGTCGTCTATATATATTCCGAACTCGAGACAGCTGTAGGCAGCGTCACAGTACGCCCCTCAGCCGTTTACAGGTAGAGATTATGGGCAGACGTCCCCCACCACCTTCTTATAACGAGGCAATGTTGACCTCACGACCTTACGAAGAAGTTCGACAGGAAATAATTTCACGATCCACAACAAATGGAGAAATCAATATGGCTAATAGACCACTTCCTGTTCCGCCTTATGAAGCCTCATCAACTGTTGCCATAGCAACTGATAATTGTACCGCAGAGTTGATTCCAGAATCAAATAGCGATTCAGAAACCTCGGGATGTGATAATATGAACTGTCCCAGTAGTGATGACGAACTTTTGGATTTAACGGAGGATTCTGATGTCCATATAAGGATGACACAAGATGTCGGACTGTTAGCAGCGTGGCATTCAAATTCAAGTTTACACGTGGATGATTCTGGCGACACCCTGTTGCTGGATTTGTCAGAAAAATCTTCTCCAAGTTGTGATAGTGACTCAAAATCTACAGCACAAACTGACTGTTTAGTTGATATATCTACGAATGATGTTAGTGACTCAACTGCAACTGAGCTTGAGCCGAGTGACTCGCAGATACCTGAGACTGCGCCCAGAGACTCACCAGTAACTGAGAGCGAGCCCAGTGACACGTTAACACCTGAAAGCGAGCATAGTGACGCGCCAAGTTTTTCCAATAGTGACTTAAACACCACTACATCAAGACATATCTTAAATATATCAGATCCACATTGTGATAATAACTCTAACACTCCTGATGCACGAACTCAAGACGAGTCATCGCAAGATTCCAGTTATGTGACCCCGGAGTCAACTTCCAGCACCGATATGCCATTTGCTGATTCCTCAGACACCGTGCCTTTACTTGAAAGCTAGAAGAGGAATCTATGTTATATTTTATTTGCAATTTTTCAAAAGACAAGGCTCCAAATTTCTGTCAGGGCTTGTAATGTCTTTGCTGAAAATCAGATTTCAAAATTTTCTGATTTTTGCTTGAAACACTTTCAAATACAAAACTCATTACTACCACTTTAAAAAATCTCAGCTTTGTAGCTGATAATAAATGCAGAACCCAATAACAGCTTAGACATCTGTGTAAACAAAAATAAATTTTCTGCGATTCTATTTTTGTGCTCCAGAAACATAATTAAATTGAGCAATGAGGCAGACGTAAAACTTTGT